TGTGGCGATGGATGCAGCGCGGGCATGGTCGTGTGCCTTGAGATATCAGTGTCAATATTTGCCTGTTTGTCTGTTCATTAGATCGAGCGAGCATCGCGCCGTACCTTTGTCAGCGCGGCTGATTCCATGTTGGAAAAAGCGCGTAGCGCATGTCAGTAGGAGAGAGGACTGGTGGTTAGTACGCGACACTGCGGCGAAAAGATATAGTTGGTAACGGATTGGCGGGGTGTAGGCGATTTGCTCAGTGGACAAGAGAAGTCGTGAGCCGGCCGGCAGAAGGAAGGCGAACGTAGGGCTGGAGGATGAGCGGGGATAATGCTTATCTTATCGCAACCCCCTGTCTTGTGCCCTTGTCCATCTGCCGCAGGCAATGCTTCGCTTGGTATGATGAGCCCAGAACCTTGCGGTCGGTGCAGCAAGAGCTGTCGCATTGGGATGGAACCAGACCCAGCAGTTCACAGAAGAGGGGCCCTTACCTTGCTCCCTCTATCAATTAATCTCGGATTTGAAACGTCATAAACTACCGAGAGAAAGACACATTGTCTATTTCAACACCATCTTCGATACCGGTTCCATAACATGCTCTCTATCAAGGTCAACCTGAGTACCGGAGCAGCTTTGTCGACTTTCGAACCTTGAATTTATTCCAGCGGCTGCTTCTTGGCACGTTGACCTATGACGATGTCATCATAGGTGAAAGAGCTATCCGCACTTCGTATCTGACCAACAAGCCAACAAGTCTCAACTCTTACCCCCCGCATCTCTAGCACCCGCAACGCGCAGCAAATCCACATTCTGCAAAGACCACAGACCTCGATCCAGCTCGCGTGCAGCGCTGCACTGGCAGAAAAAAATGGACAACAGCTCTAACGGGCTGGGAAAGCTACTGCCAAAGGCCATTGCGGCAAAACGACGGCGAAACAAGGCCTCGTCCATTTACAGCAGTGCCAGCAACGACGATGTCGCGCCGCAGAAAGGGCCAGACAACCACAATCCCGATGGCCCTGCCAGTGAAACCAGCGCTCTGCGTCGTACCGACAGTCAGCTCAGCGAGGAGAACGCCGAATTGATTTCTCTCCAGGCCGACACACCATCGTGAGTCTCTCCATCCTTGAATCCATCCCTTTTCACCCCCTAAACAGGGCCTCGTCATGCAATTTGTCCAGCCTTGTCGAGACCTCTTGGCGCCCCTTCAGTGAGGATCCCAGCTATAATTACGAAAGTCTGGCATCTGGTAGGGGGATCGGGCCCGGACCCTTATCCGCGTATGCGCAGCTCCGGTCCACAACCACCTTGGCTTACCTGACCTCTTGGCTCTTGTTGTCAACCAACCTGTGCCTCCCACAGGCGGCGTTTCCACTGTTCGTCGTTGGCCGTCGTCATCAGCCTCTTCCAAACCGCTCTATTAATCACCGGTCCTTCCGAATACACGCCCGCCTTGCTTTTCTTTGTTTTCATTTGTGTATTTCAGCTATATCGTCAACTGACTCCCGTGGCATTCGCTCGTTAGGCCCGACACTCGTCCCACCGCCATCTCCGTCCATCCGTCCCAGATCGGGCATCTAACGACATCGTCACCGCTCGTGCAGGAGAAATACAAGCCAGAGTCGCAAAGTTCAGACGTCTTGTCCTCTGAGATCTCCAAACTATCAACCAGATCCGCGACCTTGCCACAGGATTCCTCGGATAGTCTCGATTCCGCCCCCTCGCTGAGGAAGTCTCGAACCCATAGCCTCCTACATCCCGATTCCGACCCACCGAAACGGTCTGCGTCTGGAAACCGGCTCAGAGACGTATTCCGTTCAAAGAGGGGTTCGGACAAGAGCTCCAGCGAAGAGAAGACTGCTTCTGAGCAGCCCTCGCCAGCACCGAAAACCGAGTCTCAGTCTAAGGCTTCGCCAGGCCGTAACCGTGCCCTCTCTCGCGGCCCGAAGTTGGAACCATTGAAAGCCCCGCCGCAAACACCACAGACTCCGCCGCATGGAGAGCCAGCTCCGCCGGTCATCGTGAATACCCCTCCGACTCCCACTGAGCCCCCGCTACCTGTCATCGTGGCGACCAACAGCAGCCCTCGTCGTTCGACGAATGAATCTCCGGTGGGGAATATGATAACACAACGAAGGAGAGCGGGGTCAAATGCAGGCCCAAGCAAGCTATCGACGATAACATCTGCACCCCTTACGCCAACGCCAGAAGCTGGTCCAATTTCACCGAATCCTGCTGCCACCTTCTTCTCGTCTATGTTCTCAGCTGTCCAAAATACTGCCAACTCTCTCAGCAACACCATATCAACGGCGAATCTAGCTCCTGGGACTAAGTCTAGAGCTGGGACGCCAGCCGAAGAGACCGATAAGGAACAGCAGCAACAGCAGGACGGTGTCGAGGTTGAATCTTCGTCCATGCCAGACTTGTCCTCGGAGGCGAAGGAGCCAGCCGTGAAAACGCTAGGCATGGGCGATCTTAGTCTCAGCCAGCTCGGTATCGCCGAGACGCCGAGTAACGCTCCAAGTCCAGTGGTCCCCAAGTTTGCGGATTCCGATGGGAGAAACAGATCAGACTCCGCGCCGGATCCCCATCCCGCCGTTATGGATGTGGCGGACGACTCACATCTCTCGCGACCTAGATCATCGTACTCTGCCAATGGGGATCGCACACCGCCGGCAGGGAGTGTGTATGAGGGTAAATCAGGCGTACACCGTAGCGGAAGTATTCGGAGCGCTCTTGGTCACCGCAGAAAACGAGGCAGCAGCATAGCCACACACAACACCTCTGCGAGCGCGATCGGCGCTGCTATCTCGGCCGCCAATTCCTCACTTGCCAACCCAAATGCTGCGGGAAGTACCCCGAAGCTTACTGGATTTGCCGTCGCTACTAAGAAACGCAATCGTGATTTTCATACTCTCTTCAAAAGCGTGCCAGATGACGATTATCTGATTGAGGATTATAGCTGCGCTCTACAGCGTGAGATTCTGGCCCATGGCAGGTTGTACATCTCTGAGGGACATCTATGCTTCAGCAGCAATATCCTGGGCTGGGTGACAACGCTAGTAATGAGCTTCGACGAGATCGTCTCGGTGGAAAAACGCAGTACAGCGCTGGTGTTCAAGAACGGTCTGGAGATTTCCACCCTACATGCCAAGCACATCTTTGCCTCGTTTGCAAGCCGTGATACTACATATGATCTCATCATCAAGATCTGGAAGCTCGGCCATCCTCACCTTCAAAGCTCGCTCAATGGCGTTCGGCTTGAGGAACCAGGTGGCGACCGTACGGAGAAGGTGGATGCGGAAAGTGTTTCTGTGGCGGGGAGCCAAAGCAACTCGGGGTCTGATGACGAAAGCGCCGATGAGGATGATGACGATGACGATGTATACGATGAAGATGAGGAAGAGGAGGACAACCAGGAGACAAGTCTGCCGGCTGACGCAACCTCAGAAGCCCCTGACAAGACTGGCACGCGCAAGGTATCTGGTGCAGCCCCAGTGTCTGCCGACAAGGTGGACGAGGGTGCCCCCGCGAGTGGCGGTGATTTTCCCGGTCCTTCTACTCATGCCCCGACAGAGTGCGGTGATGACGCGACACACTATGAGAAAATATTGGGCGACGAAACCATTCCAGCGCCACTGGGCAAGGTTTACAACTTGCTCTTTGGCCCCGGCTCGGCCGCATGGATGGGCAAATTTCTGGCCGCGGACCAAAAGTGCTTCGATGTCCAGATGGAGGACAAACGAGGCCTCACCGGTGAGGTCAAGTCACGGACGTTTACGTATATCAAGCCTCTTAATGGTCCGATAGGGCCCAAGCAGACAAAGTGCATTGTTACGGAACAACTGGAATCGATTGATCTTGAGAAGTCTGTCAACGTCCTCTGCAGTACCCAGAACCCGGATGTACCAAGTGGCAACATATTCGTGGTCAAAACGAAATATTGTCTGACGTGGGGCGAGAACAATGGCACTCGTGTCCAAATCAATTGCACCATCGAATGGTCTGGCAAGAGCTGGCTGAAGGGTGCGTTGTTCATGAAGCAAACAGTCGCTTCGTATAGACTAACATATTGTGATAGGACCCATTGAAAAGGGCGCCAACGATGGGCAGACGCAGTACTGTAAGGATCTCTTTGCCGGTCTGCGGGCAGCCATTTCTTCGAAGCCACGATCTAGCACTCTCACTAATGCGGCAGGGGCGCGTGGCAAGAAGCGTGGACGCAAGGCGAAGTCTGCGCTGGCCTCTAACCAAGCCAGCGACGTTGAGAGTGCTGCCAAAGTGTCTGTTAAGGAAGGTTGGGGCCTGTTTGAGCCTGCGCGGCCATTCCTCGGCCCTGTGGTTGACATCATCAGCCCTATTCTTACTGGAAATGTAGTGTACGGGCTTCTTGTCGGCCTGCTGGTGGCGAGTTGGTTTGGATTCGGTACCCGACAGGGACCAGCGATGTACGGCCGCGATATTGGATTTGCGAACTACCCACAACGACTGGCTGCTTACGAAGAGATGTGGAGCAGGGAGGAGAGTGAGTTGTGGGAATGGATCGAGGAGAGAGCTGGGCTGGATCGACTGAACGGTGGTAGCATGCCAGTACCGAAAAAGAGGACCGTGGACCCAAGGACGGTAGAGGAGAAGTTGCGGGAGGAGAAGATGGATAAAAGGGAGCTCGACGAGGCGATCAGAGTGACGGAGGAGCATTTGCAAGTTTTGAAGTCAGTCGTGATCAGGAAGGAGAAGGGCGAGAGCGCGGCGAGTGATTGAATAAAGTTTTTCTTCGGACGACAAAGGGGAGGTTATCCTTTCGACTGGGGTGTTAAGGTTGGGAATTCATCATCACATTCAGGCTGGCGCCGTAAGTTCTTTTCTTTGTAAAGCATTGAGCATAGCAATCATTATATGGTAAAATTCTTTTGGACCTTTCTTTTTTCATTTTGTTCAGGGAAACGAGGGATACGATGCTTGTTCGTTCACTTCAATTTATATTATTTTTATCAACACTACTCAACAAAAATTAGGGTCCGCTGGCGTAATGGCAGCGCGTCTGACTACGATTCTACAAGATTCAAGTAATCAGGAGGTTCCAGGTTCGACCCCTGGGCGGATCATCCAACCTTTCACAGTTTACAATGTGGTTTCTTTTGGCTTTTTTTTGGACTTTATGTGGTAGTGAAGACTTGGGTGACCCCTGAACCCTTGGATTAATCGTAACGTGAACTGAAATCGCCACTTTTGGAAAGGAACCTCTTCTATTTCTAACAGGCTCCTAGGAGTATTAGGTACGGTAGAACGTAATAAATCTATTTCAGGTACTCAGACTTTCCGCTCGTAAGTATTAGAAATTCCAATTGTCGTCAGTTATGTCAGCATTGCTTAGACTAGTTAAATGACTTCCACATGACAGCCCTCGGTATGCATTTAAGGGAGCCTATTCGGAGCGCCCCCATTGCCTTGCCAGCGCCCCTCTATTGTTCTCATACAAAACCCTAACCCCAGTCGAATTTCATTTATCGGATATTTCTCTGCATACTCTTCATCATATACGATATTAGGCTTCAATATAAGTAGTGATGGGGCTATTATAGCAATATAGCAAACGATATTTCCTCCGTTTCTCTATAAAAAAGCGGACTTATACCTAGTCAAGAGGTCTATTCAGGGGGGTGCTGGTAATACCCAGCGGGGCGCTGGTAAGACAATGGGGGGGGGGGTCCCGAATTACCCCAGTGTGCATTGTATATAGGACACCTATCACGCACAACTTCGTTAGCTCAGCTCGTAGGAGGAGATCTGGGCTCAAGCAGCATGGGTTGACATCCATTCTCGCCCTGATAATATCACCCTTGCCTTACCTTTCTATCCGAACGCCCTTTCTCTCCCAGTTCATCCACGCTGACCAACACGCTGACCGCTTGGCCGTGCCAGCAGCAGAATACTACATAACGCCCTTTCCCTTCCCGTTGCCGCGTCATTGCCCGATGGAATCGAAGTGTTCGAGGCTGTCCGTTCGCAGCATCATTTACCAAACACCATCGAGTACTGGTGTGGTTTGGTGGTACAAACACAACCCTCCATACGGGAATTCCAGCACACAAACCAGCCAAAGCAGCCTGTGTAGGTGCCACCCGCCCATTTGCTTGACCGGCGCCGAGCCGCTGCGGCTCACTCATCGATGCAACAGCGATCAGATGGAAAGGAAGGGTCAGAGCCCTACAGGCTTACGAGCCCCATGGTTCAGACCACTCGGGGAAGCAATCCGGTGTAGATCCTTCGGCAGGATTTGGGGGGTGGGAGCGGGTGTGTGATCTGAAACGTCGCTGCCGTTCTTTCTTTCTATTTTTTTCCTTTTTGCTTTTTCTCCCGTTCCCGTTCTTGTGTTCAAGTTTTAGTCTATGTGTCCGTCCCTACGTATTATCATTGGTGAGAAATGATCGATATCGCACATGCCGAGAAGGACTCACCGAGGTACAGCACGGTAAGTTTTTACGGAAGGTATGTATGCAAGGAGGCAAGCGAGGACTACGTGACAGACAGCAACGGGTTTGCTGTAACTTGGGTAAAGCCTGCTGCTAAGATGTCGAAAGCTCGGGCAGTTGCTCCTCGTTGCTGCATCTATGACAGGTTGAATAGATCAGGACGGGATTTGCGGCCGGGCAGATCCAGATGCCACAAGAAGAAACGCCCGCATCCTGCCCACAAAAATAATCGAGACTGCAGATAACTACCACCTCTTTATACACGCCTCTCTCTCGCACTATTTAATCTTGGAGGTTTAAAATAAGGTAGAGTAGTATCGCCCTCTAGAGCTATCACTGTTCAAACTTTTGGGAGACTTTGACCGTAAGATGGTCGAAGGATGGGAGGTCAAAGATAAGTAGTCTTCGTGTTGGTAACCGCGGTTTGGGTGGTTTGGAGTCTCGATTAGTCTGTGGGCAGGGTGGCCCGGCACCCTCTCGGTCCGGAGTTAACTCCTCGCAGATAGCCGACTACTTGCAGGTTACAACAAGCAAATCGAACGAGGCGGGCAGGTGGCAAAAGGGCAGTTACGTCCGGACACCGGGACCTTCCTCACAACAAATCAGATCATGGCTCATTCACCGCTCATCAACCTCAACTTCTCATCAACATCACATACAATCCCCGCTTTGCTTCGGCTGTTTAGCTCACCCACATTCAACAAAACGCGGGGAAACACACGCCATATCATGCCATTGCCGTTTCCCTGACAGGCCTGACAGCTCTGTTTGGCATGCTTCCTAAGCCAAAGAAAGAAAGAACACGCTAAGACAGTGACACTACTGCACCCATCGCCGTTGTCAACGGCTGCGGGGGGTGGGTAGGTGTCGAGATAGTGGGAAGCGGGTCCTCCCGTATATACACTCCTCAGATCATACCTCTTTGCATCCCGTCATCCCCTCGACTACTGGCCAACAAGAACAATAGCAAAAATACAGGAAGCGCCCCCTCCACAAAGATCTTGTCGTTCGTTGTTGAGAAATGGGGAAATCCCAAAAAAGGATGGGCAGATGGGCAGATTACGGGTCGAGACATGGTGCGATTCTAGCTTCTCCACGTGGAGTAAATGGTTCGATCTCTGGCACATCTCTGGGCACGTCACTTTTTGCGGTGGTGACAAACATCGGATCGGGTCCGGACCTGCTTTTTCCATATGCAGTACAGTGTATGTGATGTATTGACGTACCTACCTCACAGGGCAGGCTTCTGGTGTGTAGTGGAGGGTGGATGTAACCCATTTGATTTTGCACCCCTCTCTCCCCATCAAAGCCACCCCCCCTCCCCCCTTTAACGACGAGGATTAGGTAAGGTACCAATTACTTCTGAGAGAAGAAAGCGATATTTACGCTGTGGGAAACTTCGAAAAGCCTGTTCGGAAAGGACATATCTAAACGATAGAAGAAACAAAATGAAAAGCAATTCTCTCACATGCTAGAGAAACCCCCTGCCTACTCTCCAGTCTTACTTACTGTGTACGCCTTGCATACGGATATACCGGGCGGCCCCATTATTATGCATCCATCCCAACTCGGTGACAGAGTTCCATTTTCCATATCTAAAACTGCAATGCTAGTTACCGTGAACCGAGAGAAACTAAACAAGCCAAAACAAAAAAAACCCTGCTCAATTCGAGACCGGTGAGAGAGAAATCCTTTCGGGACAAAGCCCTCCTTTGTCTCTCGGTCGTGTTTCGCTTCTCTTGGATTTTGTGCAGGTATGCGATTATAGAAATCGAAACTGTTCCTTAACCAAGGCATGGCATCAGCAGCATTTATTTTCTCTCTTCCATCAGAGTTAAATCAAGACATTAATGAAAACGATTTAAACATGCCATGACGCAAGAAACCCATCTTACAACTGAACACATATCGCCGGCCACAAATCCCCGATTCGTCTAGAGCTGCATAATACATAGTAGAACATAAACATTCGACCCGGCTGGAGCGAGCCCAGACGTAGTATCCTACCACGTTCTGGACAAAATAGCTGGCACTGCAAAGTAGGTAGGAACACAGTATTAAAAGATAGTGATAAGCCCTTCAAAGATAGCTAATAGGCCTTTTCTACTACCTATATTATAGGTCTGATCCTAGCTCACAGTACCAATTATTTTGTGCACGGCGTGCCTACCAAGGCCAATTAATCCTCCGACAGGCACACCTCAAAACACTCCGCGACTTACACAATCACAAGCGCAGATTAATTAATTGGATATGGATTGATTGTCCTTGCATATATTGACTGCAGGCTTGGGAGGAGCGATATACGAAGACGGACAAGACAGATAGTCCGCCCGACAAGAGCCAGCTCCGGGCCGGATTTAATGTTGCTACCCCGGATATTTACCTTCAGCTTCTTGCGCCCCAGTAAGACTGTGAGCATTTGACAAGGCGAGAGAGAGAGAGAGAGGGGGGGGGGGAGAGAGAGGTGGACAACAAAAGAACCAAAGAGTCGGGGTGTCCACAGTGCAACGGCTAGCCGCTATCAGTGACCTCTCCACCGACCTTGCTTTATTTTCGGTATCACTTCTGAATAACACGGATTCTTCACACAGTATTGAGATTTGGAATGGTTTCAAACTGAAGCGGCTTGGGAAAAATCGATTGTCATTACCATTGACTTACGTCTCCCCGAATATCACAGGCAAATCATTGGAGAATAACGGCTTCGACATTTCCAGACAGGCGCTGCCGCCAGCTAAGGGGCCACGTTACAACCAAGATCGCTTATGATAGCCGCCGCTCGGCAACAACGTCTCGCAAGCGGGCATATTTCCACTTTTCTTCTCACCTACCTTCGGCGCAATTGCCTTGTTGATTGCGTGATGTGTGCGCATCTCCCCTGCATATTCCCCAGGAGCGAAAGAGTGTGGTACTCTATCCGATTCCCGATCTCAATCGCTGCTGAGGACTCCTGTTTTTGCTCCTGGCAAGCACGCACCACAATGGTTGGAAGACGAAACTGAGTTGGCCCGATATCTGTGGAGCCGGCCCATTCCTCATTTTCCCCAGGTAGCGAACGGGTCGCCGTAACGGTTGAGTGGGGGGTGGGTTTCAGTGAGCCGAAGAGTATCCAGAAGGCCCGACAGATGCAGGGTTCATGATACGCAGTCATTCTCGTCGACATCTTTCTTGGCCACATCATCCTCGCCTTCAGTCTTGCCATCATCGTTATCATCCTCGCTGTCATTGACGATGCGAATGGATTCTGCATCTCTGTCCTCATCCGGTTCGTCTTGCATACCCTCGTCCAATGCATCCGCATTGCTCTCCGGTTCCCGTGTTAGCAAGATGTCTTCGCTTCCTTGCCATTGCGACGGCATGGGTGGCAGTGCATCCGGTTCAAGATCCCACCCATAGTCCTCATCGTCGCCCTCGTCCTCACTATCAGCGATCTCATCAAAGCCCGTGTCCCCGAGTTTCCGCTTCTGAGCCGTAGCAGGAGTTGACATGGTTCTCAGAGGACTCGAAGTCTGGTCGTATTCCTCCGGGACTAACCCGGCCTTTTATAGCAAAGTTAGTATAGAAGGTTGCCACCATGAACCTAGACCGCAACATACCGCTTCAATATGGAACCCGCAGAGTGCTTCCAC